ACGCTAGTTTCTGGGAGTCTTTTGAGGCTTGACAAGCCTCAAAAGACTCGTAGAAACTGGCGATTTTGTCGGCGCTGGATCTGTGCAGGGGTGGGAGGAGTGTCGCAAGGGTCCGAGTGAGCCTTCAAGGACCCTTGCGACGCTCCCCCACCTGGAAGCTGGCGATTTCACCCGCGCTGGCTCTGTGGGGGGGGGGAGCCACGCAAGAGTCCTGGAAGGCTCACCCAGACCCTTGCGACGCTCCCCCCCCACGGGGCCAGCAGGGACGAAATTGCTGCCTTTGCTCCATAAGACGCACGGACTTTACCACCCACATTTTTTGGGGGGAAAAGTGCGTCTTATGGAGCAAAAAATACGGTAGCTGAAATGGTTTGGAGTTTAGGAAAATTTAGTTAAGTAAGTATGCTACATAAACTCCAGATTTTCTGATATTCAGATTGCTATGTTTTTGGATCCTTCTGTTTCCAGCCGGCACACGACCAATGTGATTTGAGAAATGGCAACTGAAAATACTGAGGGACTAGCACTCCTTTGTCTATAGAGATGGAGAAAGACAGCAGATCTACGTTCTCTAAGATGAAACCTGACATCACCACACCTCAAACTGATTATGTTTGCAGTATCTAGATTTCAGATTTTACAGCTTCACTATCCATTCAAAATTATTTCTGGACTTTTTGTTTTAACTTTCTCCACAAGCTGTTGGAGCCCAGCCTGATGAAGAGTCCTGTAAATCAAATTCTGGACCTGCAGTTCTAATAAAGGTATTAACCAAACCTGACTGTGGATATTGCTTATGGACTGCACAACTCTGTTCAATTTTGGTTCAATTTAAGAGAGTTTGTAGAAGGAATGTTTCTCTTCCCTTGTCGTCTTCTTGCTAAATGGCTTTTCAAGCCATATAACACACATGAGCAGGACCCCACTCCCCAGGTATTTTAGGCTGCAAACAGAGAGAAGGGTATGAGAAATGTATCTTTCATGAATTTCTTTGAGCCACAAGTAGCTCAGAGAATCACTAGGCTAAGTTGGACCCTCTTGCATCCATTTCTTTATAGTATCTTAGGATCAAAGACACTGTACAGTGGTGCCTCGCAAGACGAATGGGTCTTGCGATATTTTTCGTCTTGCGAGGTGGGTTTCCCATAGGAATGCATTGAAATTTAATTAATGCATTCCTACGGGGAAAAAGTCAGAAACCAAAAAAAAGTCAGAAAAAGTCACTTACCAGGTACAGTAGACAGAGCCCCGCTCCTCACAGTGCCTTGGTAGCCCCAGAATAGCCAGACTCTGTGTGAGCAGAGCGCAGAACAGCTGAGAGTCAGCAACCAGCAGAGAGGCGGCAGCCATTTTGAGAGGCGACTACATGGCTACTACCTCTCAAAATGGCTGCCAACTCTCAGCATTTCGGTGCTCTGCTCACAGAGAGTCTGGCTGTTCTGGGGCTACCAAGGCACTGTGAGGAGCGGGGCTTGGTTTACTGTACCTGGCAAGTGACTTTTTTCTGACCATTTTTGCTTTCTGACTTTTTTCCCCATAGGAATGCATCTTTTTTGCTTTCTGACTTTTTCCCCCATAGGAATGCATTAATTACATTTCAATGCATTCCTATGGGAAACCGCGCTTCACAAGACAAAATTTTCGCTAGACAGCATTAACCGTGGAACGGATTAATTTTCTCTTGTGAGACACAACTATAAATACCTCCATACAATCACTCGCCTCCTAGTATAACTGAAGTGGTACAGGATAGTATAGTATAGCAGAAATCTCATGACAGTATATGAATTGCCACTGACTTGCTATTTTAGGGAAACTTAAGTATCAGAACATTAATGATCCTCCACCCCTGAAATTTAAATTCAACCACAATGTTCAGGTAGAGGTGATTATTATGACTTTATTTACACCATTCTTAAAATAGCACCGTAGCAAGTATATTGCTAAAGAAGCTTCTACTAGCCAAAGAGATGAGACAAGGAAATATTATAGACCAGAACTTGCCTTACTGGTCACTCACAATACCAGTAAAGCTATATAATATGAAAATCGTCTCACTCTATAGTTTTGTTAAGGCATTAAAGTCCTATTGTCCTTCTTTAAGATTTAAAAAAGGTTAGTTTAGGCATCCTTCAGTCTCGAAAGATTAGGGTAATGTGCTCTGTATGAAGGACTTGGAACAGCATCTAGTGTGGCGGAGAAGGCCAATTCGAGAGTGATAATTACTTCCACACTGAAGACAAATGCAATCTGTCCCCTGTCCAGCTCCCTGATTTGGCTGCTTTTGTGACTGCCTCTTTGCCTCCGCCTGCTGGACAAGGGTCTCTTCAAATTGGGAGAGGCCATGATGCAACGCCTGCCGCCAGGCTGAATGCTCAGATGTCAGGGTTTCCCATCTGCTGAGGTTCATTCCTAAGACCTTCAGATCCTGCTTGCAGATGTGCTTGTATCGCAGCTGTGGCCTCTCTCTGGGGAGATTTCCCTGCACTAATTCTCCATACAGGAGATCTTTTGGAATTCAACCATCAGTCATTCTCACGACATGCCCAAGCCAATGTCGGCGTCAGTGTTTCAGCGATGTATACATGCTAAAATTCCAGCTCGTTCTAGGACTACTCTATTTGGAACTTTGTCCTGCCAGCTGATACCAAAAATGCTTCAAAGGCAATGCATATGG